ACTCAGTCCCACCGTCTGTGAAAGCGAAGCGCTGCTAACTAATTTTTTTTGTCAGGGGGCCCAAGATTCCTGGTGGCGCCCCTGAACAGAACCGTCTGATCCGTTGCTCACCTGCAGCCAGACAGCCAATCAGAGCCCAGCTAGCTGGAGGTGGGTCATCTGTTCTTACCAGCAGCCCGGGCTGGCCCGGTTCGGTTCTGTTTTTAGCAGCCCGGTTTGGTTCTGTTCAGTTCTTACCAACAGCTTAGGTTCTGGGTCGGCATCCTGCTTCAGCCCTCGACTTCCTGGAAGACAAAGCAGAGTTCTGAGCCAGAGGATCTGATCTAGCTCAGAACCTCTGAGCCAGATCAGAACTGGGATCAGAACCCAGTTCCTGGGTCGGAACCAGGTCTGTCAGGTGGAAAGAATTTCATCCTAAAAGTAAAGTAAAACAAAAGGCTGTGGTTTCTGGGTTTCCCCCTCCGGCCACCAGGGGTCACTGTTCATCAGTCCGCCCGGTTCTCTTATGTCCAAATCAGAACCACCAGAACATCCTCTGTTCTTACCGGCTCTGTCTGTAGCTTGCTGTGTGACACTGCTCAGCGTCTGGACCCGACCTGATTCCTGACCTGAACTTCCTGCCGGGCCGTCAGGGTCGCTGTCAGGTCCGACCTGCTGGACACAGAGGTTCTGCCGGGTCAAAGGTCTGCCTTCAGAACCGGTTCAGCGACCCAGACCGGGCCTCACCTGCAGGTTCTGATCAGCGGCCAGCGAGAAGCTCAACATCAGAACCACTTCATCCTGGTTCTGCTGGACCAGCGCCGACACCATCTGGACCAGGTAGAACAACAAACCGGATCAGAACTAATCTGGCCCACATTCAGCTGAACCACAGGTTCTGTTCCTCAGGTGAGCAGCTTACCCGGCCCAGTCGAGGTTCTGCTAGCAGGGTTCTGAAGGAGGCCTGGTTCTGGGTGTAGCTCCTCAGGTGAGCACAGACATGGTCCAGTTGGTTCCTCCAGTAACCTACAGAACCATCAGAACCAACGGAATCAAACAGAACCATAGGGAAGATCCCTGGACCGGGCCAAGCCTCTGATGGCGTTGCCATGGTACCTCTGCCGGGGCTGACGGCGCTGAGCGGCGGCCGGCGGTCGCTCCTCGCCGCCTCCCGCCGGCGCCACATCGCCCTCTGCTGGTCCTGCTGCTGCAGCTCAATGGCTGATGGGTAATAGAGTCCGACGGTCTGCGTGGACCGATTCACAGGGGGAGGAGCTACGCCCCTTCTGGAGGCGGGGCTCTGTGGGGGCGGAGCCTTCCAGGCAGAGTCACAAGGGGGCGGGGCCTGAGAGTACCCAGCCCGTTAACGACAGGAAGGAAGTAAGCGGACGACAGGAAACGAGTGTCTTTCTACCTGGCTGTGGGCGGCGTCCTCTTCAGGCGGTGTGATGTCATTGCAGGGTGTGGGCGGGGCCAGTGCCAGGAGGAACACGCCGCACGCCGCACAGTGGGGGGCGTCCAGCGGTGCGCTTTCTCCACACCGCCAACACGTCACCCAGCAGGGGGCGTGGCCAGCCTGGATATGCACACCAATAAATATCCCACAATGCTTCACTGCCCAGCACACCAAGAGGTCAAAGGTCACCTTGGTGCCACAACGGTCGCAGAATCTGGCATCATGGCGGTTCAGATGGCGACAGCTGGAGCAGGACCACATGCTGCCGTCCACCGGCCCACTAGAGGGGGCGCTGCCTCCACCCTGATCGACCTGCAGCAACACAAACAGGTAAACCTGGACCAGAACTGGTTTGACCTGGTTCTGCTCTGGACGTACCGGCCGCAGGTCAGAACCAGAACTCGATGTGAGTACTGCCTGGTTGATGTCCCGGTTCCATCAAAACCTGACCCATGTTTGCTAACGGCGATACACCTTGAGCTCACCTGCAGGGAGAAGCTGGCCCGGGACCCATCTGTGGACGCCTCGCAGGTCCAACAGGTCTGAGAGTTGATGGGAACCAGGCAGCGACAGGAAGGACACGGCAGCAGCTGAGACAGCAGGACAGACGGTCAGTCCGTCCGGACCAGCTGGCAGCAGCTGGACGGTGGACAAGTGCAGTACCTGTCCTCTCCCAGCAGGGGGCGGCCTGAGTGCCGGAACTGGAGGAATAACAGCGCCACACTGAGGACAGAACCGAGCAAACGGGTCTGAAGGGCAGACGCAGAGGCAGCGAGGACACCTAGAGACACAGGACCAGGACACGTCCCCCAGTGGACGGGTGAGGAACCACAATACCAATAATAAACATTAATAAACAATAAGCCAGTTATAACATGTAACATTAACATGTTTACTATAATATAATAAAAAACATCATAAATGGTTTATTTATTCATAATAAACATTAATAAGCTAAAAATAAACCATTAATAAACCAATAATAAACATGAATAAACCATTAATAAACCAATAATAAACATGAATAAACCATTAATAAACCAACAGCATAGATATTCTGACACAATAAAAAACTATTTGGAAATCAGTTTGTCTTTCATTGATAATTGATTTTACTGGGCGTGTCTCCGCCAGTGGGTGTGTCTTAATGGTAGTGTCATCAGAGTGGGCATGTCCTGAGAGCGTACCACGGCGTGGTGACGTCTCTCAGCCATTGGGTTTGCAGTTTGCTGCTCAGCGGCATTGGATGGTGAGAATCCTGGCAGACAAGAAGTGGATCACCGTAATACTCTGGCCATGTCTGGAACTTCCTGCCGGATCTCTCTGTTAGCCTGTTTACCGCAGAGTGGGAGCGTCGGGAAGAGCTGGTCCAGGCAGCATCAGGATCTGGGATCCCGGCACCTCTGGAGCATCTGGAGGGCAGGGGGACCGGCGGAGGACTGGACATGGTCCGGCCCGGTTCTGAAGCCGGACTGCAGGTGACTTCAATCCACTCAGAGCGTCCAGGTGTTCCTGCAGGTGTTGGATCAGAACCGGACCGCTCATCAGAATCGTAGCCTCCTTCAGACTGGACCTGAAGCAACAGAACCACGGAGGCGGAGCTCTTCAGACCAGACAGGTGAGCGAGGTCAGAGGTCAGCTACAGGCTGCTGATTGGCTACCTGCTGGTCTGGTTCCACCTGACCCACAGAGAACACCTTGGTGACCACGGAGCTGCGCCTCCCGTCCCTGCACCGCAGTTACACTCAGCAGAGGGAAACAGGAAGTCATGTAGCTCAAGTGTTTCTGCTGAACGTTACCTGGTGACAGCCACGGCTCTGACAGACACCCGGCCCGCAGGAAGCAGGATGGGACCTGCGTACTTCCTGCTGCCGACCTCTGACCCCCGCTGCCCGGCAACCGGCTTCGAACCATCCAGAGAGAAGAAGATCAGCACACCTGGAGAGTCTGAAGAAACACACACCTGGAGGACCAGGGACACCTGGAGGACAAGGGACACCTGGAGGACCAGGGTTAGATGTACCTGACTGGATGTGGTTGGATGCTGGTTGGATGTGGTTGGATGTGGTGTGATGCTGGTTGGATGTGGTTGGATGCTGGTTGGATGCTGGTTGGATGGGGTTGGATGCTGGTTGGATGTGGTTGGATGC